CAGGCAACCAGGAATGGGGTGGGGGGAATGCTGCCTGTCTTCCCCCTCCCAAAGCAACCTCGAAGGTTTTCAAGATCGTCTGCAGAGGCGTTTTTAAAAAGAAAACGGTCTTCTTGGGAGGGGGAATGGGCTGCGCTCAGAGGAGCCGGCACCTGGGGCGCCCCGAAACAGCTCCAGCCAACATATCCATAAGAAAAGCCCCAAGGGTAAGTGCGGCAGCGCTGCACCCATCTCCGCCCTGCTGGCCGCCCAGCAATGCATCCCCGCCGCCTCCTTCTACTCAGCAGGTGGGCCGGGTAGGGGCGCAGGCATGGCCCAGGAGAGAGTTGTTAATGGGGGGCGCTGCCCAGCCAGTCCTCACTCAGCAGCAGCGGCGAGTTCCATGAGGTTGCCTTCAAGGTGAGCAGTGGGCACCACGTGACCAAGGCAGCGGGGCTCACCCGGCGCCCACCCAGCCATCACTCAGTGGGCGGGCTGGCAGGTGGGTGGAAGGTTACCCTGGCGCGACCGAGGTGGCACGTCATGTGCAGGCTTGGCGGGCATGAAGGGCTCCTTCATGGTGACCATAGACAGGATTCAAATGTATAAATGAGAACAATTAGTGAATAAAAATTCTGTGTAGCTTTGGATTAATAAAGTGCTATGAACAAGGCAAAACAAATTTAAAATAATACATGATTATCCAAATATAATCATCCAGATTCTAAAAACAGATAAGGTTTTCCACCAAGAAATTGTTTCATAGTCACAATATGGATACTAGGAATTGCTTTTAGGAACTAATTTATAGCTGATTAAAGACTTACTAGTTCACATAGGCTAAAATATGTCTTCTACGACTTGGTCCTATGACTACAATTCCAAACTCATATGGCCTAAGAGAATCGCAGTAACCCAGGCTTAAATATGGAATCTTCTCTCTTGCTCTCTGTTTCTCTGTCTCTCTTTCCCCCTCCCTCCCAGTTCACTTTATCTAAATAACTATAGAAATAAACCAGCACATTGAAAATCTTCATTTAAATTTTAAATGGATTAATAGTTTTTTTTAAAAACATTGCTTTCTCCTTGAATTATCATAATTGCTATAAGAATGACAAGAATCATAAGATTTGGTGATATATAAACATATAAGCCAATTTTATTGGACAGCCATTTAGGCACCAAGCCCAACTTCCTGTTTAATGCAAAAAAATATATATTCCTTTTTTTTGCTAGCTAGAAACTTTTTGCTCATCAGTAAGTTTCATGTACCAATTGATTATGTCCACATATTTTGGCTGCCTCACACTTTGTTCTCCATAAAATAGTTAGGGTTATCAATCAGTGGCTTACTCTGGTAGAGAATGTATGTACCCACACTGGAATTCACATCACATCAATCAATTATACCTGTGGTAGGCAAAGAGCTCCGGGATAGGTTTTTACACTAGCAAAGGACAAAAAAAGAACAAGATCCCCAAAATCCTATTAAAGTTTCCTGGATTCTTTAGTTTCTCCTTAACTATATCCAATAAAGAACAGACCATGCCTCTGAGCAACTGGTTTCATATACTGCTCTTATTGTTAATGGTTTTTAAAAAACATTTAAATTGAATTAACCTACCTGCAACTTAAAGGCATTATTTCTTGCCCAATGCCTGGTGAAGTTGTTCCATGAATTTAAATTAAAAATGATTGCCCTGATGCTATTTTTTTCAAAGATGTAAGGTTTGATGGGTATAGATCTAGAGTTCCATATCAGTTCTCATGAACTGAATGACCATTATCATATTTTCTTCACTATCATCTGATGGGCAACTTCCCTAAAACCTATGCATAACAGTAAGTTTCTGAAGTCTGAGTTCTGTAAGTTTAGTGATTAAAAGAGTTGTGTACCACAACTCTTTATTAATAAATTTTTTGTTTCCCTGAAAATAAAACTTCCCCAAATAATAAGCCCAATTGGGCTTTTAAGCACATGTGCTAAAATAAGCCCTCCCCAAAAATAAGCCCTCCCCAAAAATATTGCAACCCAGCAGCAGCCATGAGATGACTACACTCTCCGCCTCCTGCACCTCAAAAATAATAAGACCACCCGGAAAATAAGGCCAAGCACTTATTTTGGGGGTCAAAAGAAAATAAGACCCTGTCTTATTTTCGGGGAAGCACTGTACAAAAAATCCTATCTCTAAACCTATATTGGTCTGGTGTAAGTATGATCTGATGTAAAGTTGGTAAAGAAGGGGTCATATTATAACCTAGACATACTAGCTACCATAATTTTCTGGATTAAATTTAATTATTAATCTTAACAATTATAAGTTGGGCAACATTGAATAAAATCTATTTCAGGGCATCCTTGGTTACTTTTAAAATATAGAATTCTTCTTTGCAACAGTTCAGATTTCCAACATCTTCTCAACCACAACTGCTCAAAAATAATTTGGTATGCTGTCATTCTTTTTCATTAATATATCCAATAATTGAAATAATTTTTCACTAAAAGAAGTTGAAACTATTGAACAGATGGTACAAAGGAGAAAAAGAAATTCTGACTACTAGTCATCTTGCTTCTGTTTTTTTTTTAGAAAACCCTAAATTTCGTTTTTATAGAAAAATTCCAAAATTGGTTATCAGCATAATATTCCTCTATATTATATTGCTAATAAAAATTAAATGTTGTGAGTTTTCCTTGAGTCAAAGCACAATATAACTGGGTGGACTGAAAGACCAGAAAGAATTATATAAACTGACTGGGTTTTGTGTTTGGTTGGTGGATTGTTGTTGGGTTTCTTTTGTTGTTGTTGTTGTTGTTGTGAGCACAGCAATTGTTGATTAGGAAGTTACCATCTATTTTTTTTTCTTGATTCCTGATAACTTACCCAAGTTTTGGTTTTCCTGTAAAACTATATTTGAGGAAGCTTATACAAGAAATGTTTTTCACATAGAGATCATCTGGTTTAGGTTTTTGTCTTATGGGAAAAGTAATTAAGCCCAAAGTAATATAATAATCACAGTATATCTGCATTAAAGTACAATAAATAAAATAAAGAAATATTTTAATGTAGTTTTATCCATTACTAATTGGAGACATTTCAGCTATTAATCATATTTGGAAAAAGTGGGAATTCTTGCATATTGGTCCTTCTGGATATTGTAGGCATTTTTACAGGATGATGTGTGACATTTTAAACATGTGAATGTTCATCTAAGTTGTTTTGTGGTAGTTTTGCTTCTGACAGCTAGAGCAAGCCAGGTTGTTTCATTCTCCCAGAAATTATAAGAATCTCTTGACTCATGTTACCAATATGTTTCCATCCATATTAAGCTTTTTGGAAAAGTATTCTGAATACTGGACATCATTATAATCCTATTGTTATCCAGTCTTAGGTTTGAAAGATAACCATCCACAAACATCTATTGGA